TTATATATATATTTATATTTGTGTATGTGTGTTTGAATGCTTTCAAATTTTCCACTGTGGTCAGACAAGACCCTATAAGAGAGTGTGAACTTTTGAAATTTACCAAGTGCTTTTTGTTTGTGTGTGTGTGGGTCTTATTGAGGCAGGGTTTTTCTGTAGCCCCAGCTGGTCTGGAACCAGGCTGGCTTTGAACTCACAGAGATCTGTCTGCCTCTACCTCCCGAGTGCTGGGACTAAAGGCTTGAGCCACCACGCCTGGCTTCAGAGGACAACTTTTGGAAATCAGTTTTCTCTTTCCATCATGTGGGTTCAAGGAATCAAAATTAGATTGCCAAGCTTGGTGTCAAGTGTCTTTATCTACTGAGCCATCTCACCAGCCTTTCTCTCTCTCCTTCCCTTCTCCCTTCCAAAACAGAGTTTCATGTAGCCCAGACTGGTCTTGAACTAGCTATATATTGAGGATGATTTTGACCTTCTGATCCTCCTGCCTCCAAGTGCTGGGGTTACAGGTGTGTACCACTATACCCAATTTATGTGATGCTGGGGATCAAACTCAGGACTTGACACAGGCTAGGCAGCTGTAGCAACTGGGCCATACCCTCAGCCTCTCATGCCAATTTTAATGAAATCAGAAGCAGCACTTTTTTTTTTTGTGACAGGGACATTTTTTTTTTGTGACATTTTCTTTTGGTCTTTTTGAGACAGGGTCTCCCTGTAGCCCCAGCTGTCCTGGAACTCACTATGTAGACCAAATTGGCCTTGAACTCACAGAGATCCACCTGCCTCTGCCTCCGGAGTGCTGGGATTAAAGGCGTGTACCACCACGCCTGGCCTAAAAAACACATTCTTACACTTGCTGATATTATTTATCACCTGGTGTCCCCATCTATATACTGAACTCCCACTGGTATTATTTTTCTTCAGTCTGAACAATCTGCTCTCACATTTCATGGGTGACAGGCCTCTGGCTTCTGAACCTCTCACTATTTAGCTGAAAATGTTGGCTTTTGAGCGCATGCCTTTCCCCAGCTCATTTGTCTACTCATGCTCTTGGGAGTGTCTCTTTTTATTTTTTTCATTTTGGTCTTTTTGAGACAGGGTCTCCCTGTAGCCCCAGCTGTCCTGGAACTCACTATGTAGACCAGGCTGGCCTCGAACTCACAGAGACCCGCCTGCCTCTGCCTCCCAAGTGCTGGGATTAAAGGCATGCACCACCCTAATTATATTTTTTGTTCTCTAATTTTAGCCATGTATTGTTGAGTTTTGATTTGCAATGTTTTCTTTCTTTAAATTTTATTTATTTTTTTATGTATATGCATGTATTGTCTGCATGCAGGTGAGTGCGCCCATGTCATGCAACGCACATAGAGGACAGAAGAGGTTATCGGATCCCCTGGAACTGGAGTTACGGACAATTGTTAGCTGCCATGTGGGTGCTGGGACTCGAACCCGGGTCTTCTGCAAGAACAACCAGTGTTCTTAACCACTGAGCAATCTCTCCAGCCCTTGCAGTATTATTTTCTAAGTATCTGGCAACATTTTTACTTTTTTCCCCTAATAAAATGGTTACTTAAAAGATGTGCTTTGGGCTGGGCATGTAGCTCAGTGGGTAGAGTGCTTGCCATGCATATACAAAGCCCTGGGTTTGAGCCCCAGCACCCCAGACACTGAGCACAGTGGTACATATCTATAACCACAGAACTTGGAGGGGGGAGGCAGGAGACTAGGAAGCTCAAGATCATTTCAGTGAATCTGAGGCTAGCCCGGGATACTGAAGACCTTGTCTCAAAAAAAAAGTGTGTTTTAATTCTTAAGTGGTTAGGATTTTGTATTTTTATTTTGTCTTTTTGAGACAGGGTCTCCCTGTAGCTCCAGCTGTCCTGGAATTCACAGAGATCCGCCTGCCTCTGCCTCCTGAGTGCTGGGATGAAAGGCGTGTGCCACCATGTCTGGCGTATTTATATTTTAAATATGAATTCTTAGCTTTATTATATTAGGGTTAGAAAATATAGCCTATACAAATGCCATTTCTTTGAATTTTGCTGAGAGTTTTTGGTTGAGTATTTGATAACTTTTTCTACTTATATTAATTACTTCTGTATCAATAGCATTTGCATGTTGACACAAAGTAGAAAAAAAGCATTTAGATTATTTCAAACATTTGGTGCCATAAAAACTTGAAAAACAAAAATTAAAAAAAAAAACCCCAACTCATTGACAAATGAAATCAACAAGGATAGTTCTGGCTGCAGCAGAGCAGTGGAGGAACAGTGGAGGATGATGGAAGGGTGGTTCTGGAAGATGTGATGTGAGGAAGGATGCACCTATGGCCTCTGGCTTTAATGATGGAGGAAAGATCATGAACTAAGGAGCTGGGAGTGGCCCTGAGCGCCTAGCCAGTAAAGAAATGGGAACCCTGACTTGTAGGCCTCCAGAACTGCATTCTGCCTATGGTCCAAAGGATTCTCCTCTAGTTGGTACAAAGAATGTAGTCTACTGACAGCTTGACTTTCATCTGACAAGACTTGTACAGTCTTCCGACCTTCAGAACTATAAGATATAAGATAACTGTAAGATAAGATACTACTGGTGTGCTAGGCTGCTAGCAGCAATAGAAATCTAGAAGAAGCCCAGACTACTTAAAATGTTTTAACTGCCGGGTGCAGTGGCGCAAGCCTTTAGTCCCAGCACTTGGGAGGCAGAGGCAGGTGGATCTCTGTGAATTCAAGGCCAGCCTGGTCTACATAGTGAGTTCCAGGACAGCTGGGGCTACAGGGAGACCCTGTCTCAAAAAAGACGCCCCCCCGATTTTTTTAAAAAAAGATTTTTATTACTTAAATTACATGTACATGTGTGCACGTGTGAGTTGTACACATGTGGGAACCTGCAGAGTCCAGAAGAAGAGGGCTTGGACCCCCCTGGCACTGGAGTTACACGGAGTTGTGCACCTGTTATGGATGCTGGGAACTAAACCTGGGTCCTCTATAAAAACAACAAGCACTCTTTACTACTGAGTCACTTCTCCAGCCCCAAGAGCTCTCTTTGCATGAGGTCATAGGTTTAGTGCCCAGCACCACAAATAACAACAGAAGCCAAACCTAACTGAAATCCAAATCCCACCCCTTCCACCCAGCCTGGCTTGATCACAGAAACTCACTTATTCAGATCAATTTCGTAAGTCTGCATTCGAGGTTTATCTCCAGCTTTGTCTGGGTTCCATCTGTAGATAGCAAATTTTTTGATTCGGGGAGCTGCAGCAGCAGCTGTCTGTGCCCCTCGGTAGGCCTGAAATTTTAAAAAGTTCAAAAAAGGATAAAAATACATTAAAAATGCAAGATAAATTTTCCCATTCAGTTTGCAGGATAAATGGAATGCTAGGTATAAACACATGGTACTGAAACCTAACTTTTTTGGGAAAGGCACTGTCACCCAATACCCAACAAACATTAAGCACCGATGGTGTGCCAGACATGGTTCTAGGGAATGGTGACAAAGCGCTTACTAAAAAAGACAAAATTTCATTTTCACAGAACTTACTTTGTGGTGAACCAGAGTGAAAGGAAACATTCTCAAAAAAATGTAAAGAGCAATCCTGAGAAGTGCACAGACTCTGGAAGAGCCCAGCACAGACTGAGGTCAGAGGTCAGAGGTGGCTGCACTGACTGGGGTTTAAACTTGGGGCTTGATGAGCAGGAGACTTAAGAGGCCAGGGAACAGCACGTGTGAAGGTACACGGGGGAGTGTGTGTGTGTGTGTGTGTGTGTGTGTGTGTGTGTGTGTGAAGATAACAATGGTTACAGAGGGAGATCTGTTAGACAAAATCTGAAGAAAGCAGTTAGAAAGCTACTTTGGAGATCAAAACAAGATGCTGGGATGGCAAAATCACTCAATGGGTATAAGTGCCTGCTATGCACGTCTGACAACTTGAGCTTGAGCCCCAGATCACCACAAAGGTGAAGGAGAGAACGGACTATAGAGCGTCCTCTGAATTCTATATGTCAACAGTGGTATGTGCCACGTCCCATCATACACACAGTAATAAAAAAATTAAAAGAAACCAACCCCGCTGGCATTAACATCGGCACAGAAATCTGGACATGGTGGCACAAACCTGTAATATTTTAAAAAAAATATTTTTAAATTTATTATTTCTATCTTATGTGTATGACTGTATTGCCTGAATGTATATGAGTGCACCCATGTTGTGCAATGCCTCAGAGGTCAGAAAAGGGCTTTGGATTCCCCTGGAACTGGAGTTAGGGACGGTTCATAGCTGCCATGTGGGTGCTGGGAATCGAACCTGGGTCCTCTGCAAGAGCAGTCAACGCTCTTAACCACTGAACCATCTCTCCAGCCCCCAAACCTGTAATCTTAACACCTGGGAGATGAAAGCTGGCCGGGGGGGGGGGATCCCAAGTTTGATGCTTGCCTGGGCTATATGAAACCTTGAGTTAAAACACCCTGAAAGCCCCCCAAACACATGAAAATCCACAACAACAAAAAAAAGCTGGCGAGGAAGACCAGAAAGAATACTGTGTTGCCAGGCGTGTAGTGCACGCCTTGAATCCCAGCACTGGAGGGGAGGCTCTGTGAGTTCAAGGCCAGCCTGGTCTACACAGTGAGCTCCAGGTCAGTGGGGCTACAGGGAGACCCTGTCTCAAAAAGACCAAGAAAAAAAATAATACTGTGTCCAAATAGACAATTTAGGAAACACACTTGAATTCTGCTGATGCTTCTGTTACATTTCATCAAAACTCGGTCTCTGCCACATCAGATAGATTATGTGCATCCCTTGCTGGCTGAAAACTTGCTACACAGTAGAGGGTCGCCCTCTACTGTAGACCCTCCTGCCTCCGCCTCTCCAATGTTAGGTCTGCAGGCACACACAACACCTGGCTTATGTAGTGCTGGCTGGCCTTTGAGCTCCCAGGAGATTCTTGTCCCTTCCTCCCAACCTTCAGTAGGAGTACTGAGACTACAGACACGCGCTATCATGCCTATAACTTTACATGGATTCTGGGGATCCAAACTCAGGTTATCAGGCTTGCAGAGCAAGCACTTATGCCTGGTGAGCCATCTCCCTGGCACCTTTATTTAGTTTTAGAGACAAAGTGTCATGTAGCCTAGGCTGGCCCTAAACTCACTATGCAGCTGAGGATGAGATGACTATGAACTTCTAAGTGCTGGAATTATGTGAGCCATCTTGCCTCGTTTATAGAGCCCAGGACCTCGTGCATGATGAACCCTCTACCAACTGAGCCACATCCTCAGCCTGTCCTCTTTTGAGGTACATTCCTGGAGGGGCCAGTGCCAGTTCTAGTCTATACCTCCCAGTATATGTTGTACAGGCCTTTGAACACATCAGTTCAATCCATGATTACGAAAGACTGAAGAACAAAAAAAGCTGAACATCAGACTGACACAAAAATGTGGCTCATCAGATGTACTTTATTTAAACGTATAGGCTACCGCAATCTGTGTGAAGGCATCAACAAAACATCCCCCAATACCAATCAAGAGCCAAGCTGTCGAGCCAGGTGTGGTGGTGCATACCTTTAATCTCAGCACTTGGGAGGCAGAGGCAGGTGGATTGCTGAGTTCGAGGCCAGCCTGGTCTACATAGCGAGTTCCAGGCCAGCTGGGGCTACAGGGACACCCCTGTCTCAAAAAGACCAAAAAAAAAAAAAAAAAATGTCCCTTTAAATAGGAAGCCCTTTCCTATTTAGGATGAAATGGAGCAGAGATCAGCTTTACTAAGGGGAGGGGAGAATTCTGTTACTTCCGATAGTAATTATAAACGGAACTCTCAATTTGTCTACAGAACAGTGCAGACCACATGTCAGGGCTGCAAATGCTTTTATGAGTAGCTGGTAAAAAGTGCCCTGCATTAACTGAAGCTGAAAATGGAATCGTAAGCTCTTAGCACAGAGAAGACCCACCAAGAGGCCGGGTGCGGGGGAATGCCTATGATTCCAGCACTCAGGAGATGGAGGCAGAAGGACCAGGAATTCAAGGCCAGCTTTGGCTACATGAGACCATTTCAACTCCTGAGACTCCTACCCCCTGAAAAAAGATGAAATTATGTTTTGCCTCATCACTAATCATTAATCTGCCCATTAACAAAAAGAAACTTGTTTCTAGAAAGGAACACCCTCCTCCCCTAACCTTATTTTGTAAGACCCATTTGGCTAACGCCACTCCATGTTATCTTTTGTTTGTTCATTCAAGACAGATTCCCTATGTAGTCCAGGTTGGCCTCGAACTCAAGATCCTCTTGCTTCTTCAGCTCTGGGATGACAGGCACGCGCTCTAGTACCTTGGTATTTCAGAGGAAGTGAAAAGAGGAAAGTAACTGAAAATGCTTACTCCAACCATGCTTAAGGCCCTTTTGTCAGTTCCGTTTTGTTAAATAGGGTAGAAGTCATCATAATAAATTCATTCCTCTTAATAAGTACATAATTTGATGAATTTTTATTTTATTATTTTATGTGGATGAGTGTATTGCTGCATGTATGTGAGTACACCCATGTCCTGCAATGCTGAGGTCATCAGAGAGGGCTTCAGATTCCCCTGGAACTGGAGTTAAGGACAGTTCGTAGCCGCCATGTGGGTGCTGGGAATCAAACCCGGGTCTTCTGTAAAAGCACTCAGTGCTCTTAACCGCTGAGCTATCTCTCCAGCCCTTAATTTGATGAACTTTTTTTTTTTTTGGTCTTTTTTGAGACAGGGTCTCCCTGTAGCCCCAGCTGTCCTGGAATTCACTATGTAGACCAGGCCGGCCTTGAACTCAGAGATCCCTGCCTCTGCCTCCCGAGTGCTGGGATTAAAGGTGTGGGCCATCACGCCTGGCTAATTTGATGAATTTTAACAAACCAAATCAAATTTAACAGATGGAATTTCCTTCCATCCAAATGGCCACTTTTCCTCTCATCCCTCATCCCTCCCCCAGTGGCAGACTGCTCCATTACTGCAGGTCCATGAGCTTTTCACTCAACATAAAAATTCTGGGAGTCAGCTGGGCGTGGTGGCGCATGCCTTTAATCCCAGCACTAGGGAGGCAGAGGCAGGCGGATATCTGTGAGTTCAAGGCCAGCCTGGTCTATATAGTGAGTTCCAGGACAGCTGGGGCTACAGGGAGACCCTGTCTCAAAAAGACAAAAAAAAAAAATTGGGAGTCACACAACTTACTATGTATGTCTGTGGCTTGCTACCTTAAAACACTAATCTGGGAGCCAGTCAAGGTGGCGCATGCCTTTAATCTCAACTCTGGGGAAGCAGAGGCAGGTGGGTCTCTGTGAGTTCCCGGCCATCTGGGGCTACAGGGAGACCCTATCCAAACACGAAAAAACAAAACAAAACAAAACAGGGGCACTACACTTGGGGGGGTCTTTTTGAGACAGGGTCTCTCAGAGATCTGCCTGCCTCTGCATCCCAAATGCCAGGATTAAAGGTGTGTGCCACCATGCCTGGCTGCCCAAGTATTACTTATAGAGGACTCAAGTTCAGTTCCCAGTACTCATGCTGGAAAGCTCACTTCCACCTATAACTCCAACTCCAGGGGGACCTGACACCCTCTTCTGAAGTCCACAGGTACCTCTACTCACATGCACATACTCAGAGACACATACATATAATTAAAAAATAGTAACAGTAAATATTTTTAAAAAACCAGAATCTTTAAAAAAAAAAAAAAAATAGCCCAATCTGGGTGTGGCAGCACACACCTTTAGTCCCAGCACTCTAGAGGAGTGCAGGCAGATCTGTGAGTTCAGCCTGGACTACATAGTGAGTTCCAGGCCAGCTGGGGGCCACAGGGAGGCCCTGCCTCAAAAATACCAAAAACCTCCACAAACAAAACAAAAAACCCCACCAACCCCCCCCAAAAGCCCAAAGTCAGTAAGATGGCTCAGCAGTAAAAGCACTTGTGCAAAGTCTGACAACCTGAGTTTAAACCCAGAGCTCATGCAAATGTGGAAAGAACCAACTCCACAAAGTTGTCTTCGGACCTCTACATGCATGTCATGTGTACACCCACACACACAATAAAACAATAAAAAGTTAAAAAATCATCTTTTTATTTGGGGGTTTATAGCTCATATGCATTTGTAAGGTGCTGATGGAAATACTGGCAGAACAGCATAGAACGGCGGCCAGAATGCGGCACTGCTGTAGAGATGCAGAACGGCCCATCACATGATCCCCAGTGCTGCCCAGGAACAGTCACAGGCACAGCTCTAACCCTCTCCCCAGCTCCCAGAACAACCAACTTGCCTGCCACTGCTCCC